ATGGACTAAATAAAAAACTTTCCAGAACTCTAATAAACTGATGTGTTCATAAAACTGCTATTCAAGATCAAAATATAATTACATGAGATTGAATAACTGATGAAAATAATGTTTTTATGACTTTCATTTGAAATATTGTTAATTATTTACTTAAATGTCTTATTTTCTAGATTTAAGGAAATATTCTCTCTTACGCTATCCATACTTTACAGCAATTGTCTTAAGTATACTTTTGTGAATAAAGGTGGAGACATTTTTTTCCCTATTTGATCTCTCCACAATTCAGAAACTATTTATGAGAAGTCTTATAGCAATATAGTTATTTGTGTAAGTTCAGTGAAAATCTGTTCTCTCTTTATAACAAGATACAATTGGTAGTTATGCTACCTAGGCTTTGACTGAAATATCATATTTGAGAATGTGTATAGAATGTCTCACTTCAAGAATTCCTAGTCTTACAGTGAGTGAATCAAAATTATCACTTCTTGACAGGACCAGGAACATTAGGACTATAGGTAAAATCAAAAGTTTGCCTTGGGTTGGCTTCCTAGCATCAAGAGGTTTTTACAACTGTGATTTCTATGTGATCAATAAGTCAAAAAAGTTACATTGCTAAAGAAAAGCTATGATGCACCTGTTACTAGATTGTAGCTGTGTGCATTGCTTTCAAGTTCTTGTTATCTACCTGTAGACTAGATTACATCCTAAATTTTTCTAGGTTCCAAACCAATTTTCTTCCATAGAATTACTAAAAATGGGAACTTCTCTGTTCCTGAAGCCCCAAAGCTGAAACTATATGAATTTTAGGGAACAAGGGTATCACATGGTGAGGGGGCTGAATGTGCTAATATGCTAGTGTGTTAGCACAGGTCTCTCTCCCTCTTATTATTTAAAGCCACTGGTTCCCTTCTCATGATAACTCATTAATCCATTGCCCTGTTAATCCATAAATGGTTAATCCATCCATGAGGGGAGGGCCCTAATGACCCAATCACCTTTTTATGGCCTCAGCTCTCAATACTGCCACATTGGAGATTAAGTTTTAACATGAGCTTTGGAGGAAACTTTCAAACCATAGCACTGATAAGTAACAGAAATTTATTTTTCACAGTTCTGAAAGCTGGGAAGTCTAAGATCAAGGTGTCAGCATGGTTCTGGTGAGGGCCCTCTTTCTGGTTCATAAATAGTACCTTATAGCTGTGTCCTCACATGGTGGGAAAGAGAACTCAGCTATCTGGAGCTTCTTTTATAAGGAGACTCTGTGCTCAAGATCTAATCATCTCCTAAAGGCCTCATCTCTTAATTCCATTACATTGTTGATTAGGTTTTAACATATGAATTTGTGGGGGCACAAACATCCAGACCATTGCAGATCAAGGAGACTAATACAGCTGGAGAAGAGTGAGTTGCTAAATTGCAGTAGATAAGGTCAGAAAGTTAATTATATGTTTGAAAGGGTGTGTGCACTTGGAGGGCAAGGTAAGGCCTCAAAAGTCATTGTGATGACTGTATTTTTTATTTGGAGGGAGATGGGAAGTAATTGGAGGAGTTTCAGAAAAAAAGATGACATAATCTGAGTTAAATCTAGCTATTCTTTTGACAATAAACAGAAACAGACTTGAGACATACTCAGGAGGGTATTGAAATAATCCAAGTGAGAGATGATGGTGGGTTGACTAAGAGTGGTACTAGTGGAAGGGGAGAGTTGTGACCAGATACGGCAAGTAGAGCTGACAGGATTTGCTGAAAGATTGAATGTGGGGTGAAATAAAGAGAGGAGCTAATGCTAATTCCAGGATTTCATCCTGAGTAATTGGAAGAATGGAAGTACCACCAGCTGTGATAGGGATTGGGGGTGCAAGGAAGATTAAGAGCTAATTTTAGACATGCTACTTTAAAATGACTTAGAATTCTACTCCACTGGAGGATTGTATATGCATGGCTGAAGCTTAGGAAGGAGTATCAGCTGGAGATGTAAATTTGGTATTTAAAGTCATAATACTGGATGTAAACACTTAGGGAATAAGTGTAGATAGAGAAATCTGAGGTCCTAGTCATGAGGTACTCCAAAATTTAGAGATCACATAGAAAATAAGGAACCAGAAAAAGAAACTGAGGGACCATGAAGTAAGAATAAAACCAAAAGGGAATCATATCTAATTAAAGAAATTGGGGGTTTTTTTGGAGGAAAAAAATTATAAAATCCAACAAATATTACTGGTTGATCAAATAAACTGAAGCCTGTAATCTGACCATGAGATTTACAAGTATCATGTTACTGGTCATGTTGACCCAAACAATTTTGGTGAAGAGATAGGTACAAAAGTCTGATTGCAATGATTTCAAGAGAGAATGGGAGGAAATAATTGGAGACATTGGGTTTAGCCAACCCTTTCTAGTTTTTCTGTAGAAGGGCAAAAGTGAAAAGATCAAGAGAGGGTTTTTAAAAGACTGAAGTTATAGCATGTGTGTGTGCTGATGGAAAAAATTTGCCAAAGAAGGAAAATTCATGAAGCATAAGAGGTGGGAGAATTGCCAGATAATTGTTTTTAAGAAAGGAAAGGCCTGGGATCTAAGGCACAAGTGGTTGGCATTTCATCCATGGGAGCAGGTGGAGATTGGTGGGTAAGATGTGGTGGTGAGAGAATGCAGAAAGTCTTTCTGAGTATATTTTGTTTTTTCAGTGAAGCGATGTCATCAACCGAGAGTGAGAAGTATAGGGTGGAAAGAAGAGAGGGCGTAACATACATAACTCTTTAAGGTAACATACATAACTCTTTAAGAGAACAGGTGAATGAATGATCTTAGGAAATATCAAAGGATTGCAGCAGTACTTAGAGCCCACTTGAGTGGTCATGAATTTAAATTGAGATCAGATACAAACCCACCTACATTGCTTTCTTAAGTAAATATCAATGCACAGATGTAAGCTTACAATGAATTGAGTTTTAATTTAAGCAGGGTTGGGGTTTTGTGAAGCAAGAATAAGGAAAAAAGAGAATGACTTGAGAGTTGAGGAAAAATGCTAGGGAGTATTATAATGATGCATAATGGACCAAAGGAGGGAAGATAAGGTGCAGAGTGGGATTGGGAGGGTGATAGGAACAAAAAGAGATAGGATAGTAATTTCAGCAGCATCTTAGAATTGTTGGAGTTGGGAAACTGGAGAGAATGAGTTCAAAATATAGGAGATGAGGTTGAAGAGAGACAACTGAATTGTGAATATGGAAGGTAAAGTATGGTAATGTCAAGGCCTCATGTATGACTACAGACATGAATGACTCATGTGGTGTAAAATAGGACTGTTGGCTGAGAGGAGGTCTTATAAATGGGAGGCCAGCTAATGGAAGGATTGTCTGTGTGGGTATTGAGATCACAATAATTATTACAGCAATAGTATTAACAATAATTACAATTAAAATCACAGTGGATCTTGTTAACCTAAAAAGTAACAAGATCTATACATTTAGAAAAGGAGAACTTTATTTCTTCTAAAGCGTTACAGCCTGCTAGGTGGTCATTTTGGTAGGCTGGTAAGGATTTTAGGCCAAAGTCCTAAAACTGGCACTTTGAGGGTGGGAGGGCTAAGACAGGAACTTAAGTTGAACAGTTGGCCAAGTATTCAATAGGTTACAGGAGGAGCTATGAATATTCATGATGGTGGTCCTGATGCGTGTGTGTTGAACAAACTTGTATGCAACATATGACACAAAGGCACTCAAGTTAGTAGCCTCTATAAAACCAGCCAGAGGTAGTTTATGGTCAGTGGTTCTCTTATCAGGAGAAAGTTATTGAAATCAGTCTCTGTCCAATCAAAGTTATGGCTTGTGGGGGTATTTGGCAGTGAGTGTCACACTGTTTTAATATTGTATATCTTGAAGCCAGTGCCTATTTAGCTGCTAAAGAAAAACTTTGTGGTAGTTAGAAAGCAGTTTATTCCTTAAGTGTAGGAGTACATGACTTAACCCTTGCCTCTCTTGTCCTTAGTTCTTGTTTATCATTTGATATCTTATTGCTACAATCTATTCTGTCAGTCTTATGTTGGCTAGTTGTTTTGTCTAAACCCCAAAAGGCAGGGGGTATAATAAGGCATGTCTGATCTAGGCATGGCCTCTTGTCATGGCACAGAACTCAGTTTATCAGGTTTCCGTGGGGTCTCTTTGGCCTAGAAGGGGTCCATTCAGTCACTTGAGGGCTTAGCATTTTTAGTTTACAACCTCAAGAGTGGTTCTCTGATTAGCAATGCCAATGTCTCCTCTCCTGAGTACTATACTTGTTAGAAATGCAAATTCTTGCATCCACCCAGATTAGTGAATGAGAAATTCTGTGAGTGGAACCTTGCAAACAATAGTTTAACAAGTCCTCCAGGTGATTATGATGCACATTGAAGTTTGAGAACTACTTCTATGGTAGCACAGAAGATAGAGAAGTTAACTGCTGGAGAAGTAACACAGGCTTCAATGAGTTAGCATTTATACTACATCCGGGAAAGTTACTTACTGCAAGGTTAAGAGGGAGGATCCTTAAAATTAAATGGAGTAGCATTTGTAAAGAAATGCTAGAATCATGAAAAAGCCTAAGATAAGGTCAAATGAAATTATTTAACAGTATATATTGTTAACTGTTGATATCAGAAAAGCACACCTTGCTAGGAAGGCACTGGTCCTTTTGAAATCCTGATAAAACATCACAAACTTCTTTTTATTCATTTACTTTTAGTACATTGGTATTAGGCTCAGTATAGAGTGAAAGCTTGGAGAACAAGTGTAGCTGCTTTGGTCTACCAACCAATCTCTCCACAATTTCCCGTCATCTCTAGGAAACCTAGGAGAAATAGATCCATACAGCAGCTATAATACAGGAAAGGTGAAAGGAAGCCCTTTAATGACGTCACGGAGCGTCTGGGACCCGCCCACCGCGGGTGTTTTCCACATACAGCAGCCGGGCGCCTCCGGGGGCGGGGCTTGCGTAGGCTGACGTCACTGCAGAGCGCCCGGCGCGCTCTGTTGGCGGCGGATTTGAATGCTAGGACGGGTCTCGGGTCCTGAAGAGGAGTTTGAGGGGCTGGATTGTTCTAGCTGTCCCTGTGGCGGTGAACTTGTGTGCAGTTCGGGGAGGTCCTGGGAAGCTGAGGCGGCTGCGGCCTGACAGGGAGGATGGCGCTCTCGACCACAGTCTCCCAGAAGAAGCAGATAAAGCGGAGGGCGCCCCGCGGCTTTCTAAAGCGGGTCTTCAAGCTACAGAAGCCTCACCTTCGTCTGGAGAAAAGCAGCGACTTACTGGTGAGATTCCATTCCATCTCGGGCTGGGAATGGGGCCTGTGAAAGTACGGGAAATTATAGGAAATGAGCCTTGTTTCTCCTTCCTCAGCCAATCTATAGCTCATGCAGGCCCATGTTTAAGGCATTTCCAGGAATGACGAGGTAAGTTTGCCCCAACCTAGCGTGTCAGTTTATATTCCTGACGTTTAGTTTATCCCGGTCCGCCGAAATGTAAATATCTGTATCTTTTTAAAAGACTATTAGCCACGTCAGCTTACGGAGAAAACTAACATAAGGTTCCTGCTTATAGTTTTAAAATATGCCACAGTTCTGGCATTGTGATTAGAGTACTTGTAAAGGGTGTGAAAGATACAACCTTTTAAAAATAGATTAGTCTGGGTCATTTTTATTTAGCTATTGTTAAAGGCATTGCCTATTTGCCTTTTAAGTGCCTCCCTCCCTTCTCTTTTCACATTGTTAACCAAACACATTGCCCAGGCAGCTTGCTAAAGGACGCTCATTTGAAAGTTTATTTGTAAGTAGAATGTTTTCAACTGTGAATTCATTTTCCTAGACAAAGAATAGAACACCTATTAGTTCAATTTTAAGCCAGACCGCCGAACTCATAATACAAGTATAGTGCTCTCCCAATAGATGGCCCCACCCAAACCACTGTGTAATAATGTTTCTGTCTTGAAATCAGTTCAGAGTTCATGTGCTGAATGCCTGGAACGCATATTCCTGTAGTACTATTTCTCTAGGTGTAAACCATAGGAAGCACGTCCTGTGGGTTGTCACAAGAGCTCTTTGAGTAAAGGAGCCATTATAAGTGGACACTTAATTTCCAGGAGATCAAGATAAAGAATAATGGATAATAAGGGCATACTGCATAGATTATCTTGGCCTTGAATCATTCCAGCTGTTCTTGAACTGCATTGGTTTTTCTACCTCCTCTTTTCTCTAAAGCCTCCCTGAGTTCTCCACTGCCTCTCTGTTGCCTCCTTTTTGCTAAAGTGCTATAGAATTATCTCCACGATTCCCTTACTTGGTCTCTGAAGTCAAAACAACATCCCCCCCCCACCTAACCCCCGAAAAAATACTACTATCTCCTGCCCTCCTTTTTGTTCTTTTCTTAGATCTTGTTTTTCTTTTAAAAGGCAATATATGTTTTATACCCCGACCTCAAAACACTACCCCATCGTTGTGGTGGAGTAGTGCAAATGAGTTGGATTAAAGTGACATTTACTTGCAACATTTTTAGGTAGTTTATTTTGGAGTTTTCAGTGAGGCTTCTAAATGGAGGGGAGGAAATGCACCTGATGAAGGATATCGAGGAGTCTGCCAGGTGGTGCAGATAGTTTGGTTGAAATTTCTCAAGTAGTTAGCGTCTTCCCACATTCTCCCCTTTTTGCCCCAAAGTGACCCATAGACAGGTGGGCTCAATGGTGGGCTGGGCTCCAGGTGGCATGGGAAAGAAGGGAAGTTGAAATTACAAGCAGTTGCAGTGGTAGGGGAAAGAAAGTTCTTTTAGCCACCAGCTATTATGCATGTCCTCATTGGCTTTCATTAAACAATTTCTTTCACTGTCTTGTATATGGCATGTATCACCCTGTTTCTTTCTTTATGGTTTTCTGTTCACCATTGATACTTCATAACCTTACCCAGCAGGTGTCCCACATCATCCATGAAGTTTTCCATAGTTAAGGCACTATGTTTTGAGTTCTTCTTTTTTCTGAACTTGGATGGTAGTAGGAGTGTTCATCATATAACTTAGCTATTGGGACTCTAACACTGTTCTCCCAGTGTAGTATGCAGCTTCTTGAGTGTAGGGAACCATATCTCCTTTTCTATCTCTCATCTCTATCTTTGACCCCAAATGAATCTACTTTTATGCTGTCGTTTTTGCATGATATTTCTTTTGCCTGAAGATACCTTCACTCTACTAAGCAAAGTATAATTTTTCAAAATTCAGTTCAAATGTCACTTCTTCAGGGAAGACATCCTTAATCTCTTTAGAAAGGATCAGTCTTATCTTCCACTCTATAATGTTGTCACACATTTATCTTTAATTTCTTTATGGGTTTGATTGTTCCACTAGTCAGGGAGCTTGCATTAGGAACTTTTTGTATTCATATTTTTGTATGTCTAGCATAATACCTTGAACATTCTGAGTATAATTATTGGAAATGCATGATAACTTACATGGATTTTTTAAACTTACATGGATTTTAACTTACATTTCTAGCATTTTACTTATTTCTTTGTGTTATTTTATACTTCTACACTCTGGCTTTTTGTTATTTTGTTTTATGCCTTATTTGATTATGTATCCCTAGGGCTAGTACTGGTGAGAGAGTTAACATCTGTTAAATTTGAATAACTCATTCAGTTGTCTTGTGGCTCAGTTAGCTTATATATTTGTCACAAAAGAATGCTGCACAAATATCTGGGTGCTTATGGTTTGTGTAAAATTCAAAGGTGCTATGACAATGGAAGGAGGAAGTCAGGCTGGCCGAGTCTTTCAACTAACTGAGACTGTCAAGTAATAGATATTTTTTTGTAAATTATCTTTTGATTTACCTTTCAAGCAAGCTGATTTTTTTTCCAAAGTAAATTCTTGATAGAATAGCTTATCTTTTTCAAGTTTGAATGCCTAGCCAAATTACCTTGACACTAGTTTTTGTTTTGACTATTTTAATAATAAGCTTTAGTTCATTTTAGTGGCGCCACTCAACTGTTTTATGACATAGGTTGCTTAAAAAATATTTTTATGACATCTGAAAAAGTAATCCTAATTTGTCTCTGTATGTATGGTTCCTGCCCATGAAGAGGAAAGGACATTCTATGTAGGTTAATGGCATGAACTAAATCTTAAAACAGTGTGGTTTCATTAGAAAAAATTTTTTTTTGTCTTATTTGGGAAGATATGGAGGGATCTTCATGCAATAATAATTATTGGCTACCTACTGTGTATTGGACAATGGACTAAAGGTCAGTAGGGATACAATGCTGAGAAGGATAGACATAGTTCTTGCCCTTCTAGTACATTGAGGAAGACAGTTAAGAGAGAAAGTACAGCATAATGTGTTATGTACAGGGATAGGAAGTTCAAGGTGATGTGGATCACTATAACCTTACATATTGGGTAAAGTTGGCCTTTTTGAGAATGCCAACAAACTGTAGGATGCCTGGAGGCAAGGTTGTGTTTGATTTCTGAGAGAAGTTCAGAAGACCTGGTGTTGAACTTGAAGCTGAGAAAGGTGAGAGATAAAACAGGAAAGGGCCTAATCAAGTGGGATTTAGTGTTAAGGAATTTGGAATTTACCCTGAGAGTATATGGAAGCTATTTATCTTTAGAAGTAGAAAATTTAGATTAACAGATGAAATAATGGCATATTATGGAATGTTTTTGCTACCAAAGAAATATCATGGGAAGTTTTAAAAATTGAATGACATAGTATAATGTAAAGAATTGGAACTGAGTTGCTTTACCTCAGAGTCCTTGTGAGTTAAAGAAAGTGCATCAGAAAAGTACTAAAAGATTATCACTTTCCATAGGTTCTTCATCTTATTAAATTTAAATTCTCAAACCCCTGGTTTTTTCAAATATTGCTAGAACACTTTTAAACACCTGTATAATGATCCAGCAAAGATTTCTGTGTAATATAAAGCATTTAAAACACTACATTACTAGTTATTTAACATTTAGTGAACTAGGAGTGTTTGTGTGCAGTATACGAGATAGTGAATATTAAGTATTGATATGAACTGTTTTAACTACAAAGATTGCGTGTTATGATGTAAATAAAAAAGTCCTATATTAAAGATATTATCTAATTGGATCTAAGTTGGTAGTGCCCTCAGGCACCTGGCAGAAGCAAAGGATGGGGAAGATGTGAGCAATAATATAAATAATAAAGCAATACTACATATGATCTTAAGGAGAGGGTTGAGATAGGAAGTTATATTCTCTCTTACTTGGACTATGTGTACCTTAACTGTTTTTGAGGAAAGTACATATCAATTAAATTGCATTTTTTTGGTTTGATAGTGATTTTGGGTAAAATGTTTAGTGCAATGTTATTGTGCATATTCAGATGGTGATACTGTATATATCATTACTTAATGATATGTATGTAAATAAGTATAGAGTTTGTTTACATACATATCATTAAGTAATGGGAAATATATATATACACAAACATATATGTATGACCTGATTATGTCTTGCGTATATGTAGAGCTTGTTTCTATAGGAATATGCATGAAATTGTCAAAAATGGTTGACTGGGAAATGATGTAGGAGAGAGAATTACTTTTGACAGTTTACTTTTTTGTAGATTTCTTATTTTATGTTTTTATTTTTAAATAATTATGGACTCAAAAAGTACAAAAATAGTATAGAATTTCCATGTATCCTTCACCCAGCTTCCCATAATGCTAACATCTTACATAGTTCTTTATAGGCTTTTGAGTTTTGTACTGTCTGCTTATATTATCTCTTAAACAATTTTTAAGAAGAAGCTTAAAGATTATTTATTATAGGTATTATTTTATGATAGTTGTTAGATGACTAGTAATCTTGACTTTGTACATATACTTTTCAATTCAGTAAACTAAAAATTTCAGTTAAATGTATTTGTTTTTGAATAAATATTTCAAGTTAAATCTGATTAAGGAATCTTAGACTTTAGATTATAGAATAATAGCCTAAAACATAGTTGTTGATATATTCTAATTTAAAATTTTCTGGAAATTTTAAATTATAAATTTAAATTTATTTGGAAGCAGAAATAGGAATGTTTGTTCCTTAATAGAATCTCATGTAAGTTTTGATATATAGTGATGCTTTATAATATTGCTATAGTTAATGGCCTTTGGTACCTTCTGTAACCTTGTTTTATGTATTGTAATGACTAAGTCTCTTTGTAAAGATTCTAAGATGAACTTAGATTGAATTCTATGTAACTTTAAATAGAAGAATTAATTGACTTAATCACAGTAGCATAATAAATAGTACAATAATAAATTTTGGGATTACTGATTTTTTGAAAGTCATCTCCGAGTATCAGTGTTTGAGTTTAAAAATCCACTTGGATTTTTCTTTTAAAGGTCCATCTGAGCTGTTTACTGTTTGTTCATCGATTAGCGGAAGAGTCCAGGACAAATGCTTGTGAGAATAAGTGTGGAATCATTAACAAGGAGCATGTACTGGCTGCAGCAAAGGTAAAATTTGAGTTTCTTTTCTTGAGTAAGAATTAACTCACAAATATGACCTGGTTCATCACTTCTGCCTGATTTATTACCAGTTAGGAGAAATGAATGTTTACTAACTTGTAGGCTGAGAAGGTATATCACTTTGAAATTTATTAAAATTTACTTTTGTCTTGATCATTTTAAATTGTCCTAATTAATCTAATTATTTTCTAACTTTGTTTTGAAATTTGAGTAACTTATGAATGAAATCTCTTACATAAGCATAGAATATTTCTTTTCAGTGGTATTTTTATGTAATGTAAGACTATGATGCCTAAGGCAAAGTTTCCCAAATACGTTCCTAAAAACATTATTTCCAAAATATGTTAATAAATGCCCTACCTCAAAAGCTTCTGTGGTCAGATTAATGTAGATTACCTAACATACCATATCTCCTTGATTAGTCACAGTGTTATTGTTTATATGTAGAGCTTCTTTCTGTAAGAATATGTGAGAAATTGGTAACCATAGTTGACTGGAGGTTGGTGTGGGAGAGAAATTTATTTTTGATAGTCTTCCTCTTTGTAATCATTTTTGTTTGAATGTTTTTATTGTGACATAAGTATATACTCAGAAGAAGAAGTCAAAATAGTCCAGAGTTCCCACGTACCCTTTATCCAGTTTCTCCCAATGCTAACATCTTTTGTAACTCTTATATGACTATAGTTTTATAAAGATATCAAAGGTTATGAGAAATAGAGCAGTAAGGAGCTTTGTTCAACTCTGTTTAATTTAGCATTTTGTAAATTCATCTGAGTACATAATATTTTCTTTTGAAGTACCCATGGTAAACATCTTGTAGAATAGAGTAGTATTGGCCTAGGGTATAGACTTATTTGATAGCTTTTGTGGAAGCCTGGAAGTATTCATGCCTTGGCATTTTTTAGGGACTTTAAATTCTCTTGCAATTATAAACATTCCAACAAATTTCTAGACTTTTAGTCAGCGTAAGTATTTTTCTGCATGTAAAGCAAAGCTTAAAAGTATATATATGTATGTTTTAATGTTAGAATTTGTTTTTATTAATAAACTATAGGTTTATTTACTTACCTAGAAGAGTAGATAAGTTCTCTAAAAAATTGAGATACTCTGGTTTTATGCTTCCAGCCTTTTTGCAACTAAAAATCTCCTTTTGTTTTATTTCTGCCACAGGCTATATGTTTTGAAAATTATCTACAAGCTTTTCAGCATGAAATGACCAGTCTTACTGTCTATATTGATAAAATTTCAGCCCGAATATAAGAAATCTAGTGTTGCAGTGGATTTATACTGTTTTATAGTTGTGAAATGCCTGATTTATAATAAGCTTTTCAAATTTTAAAACATTCTTTAACTCCTTGAATCACTAAATTGTCTTAAAGCCTCAAGTTTAAAACCATTAATAAGGACAATTTTGGCTTACAATTGAAAAAATTAATGTCTAGCAGTGACTGTAAAACCAGATTTTGAGACCCTAGGCAAATTTCACATTCATTGAGAGAGGTAGACTATTTTAAAGAAATCTAAGCAATTTGTAAGGCAAAAGATTCCCTAATCACCTTCCACATTTGATTTATAAATTCATTCTTTTATATTATGCACATAGGACTATTTAACCTTTTGTTGAGGAATTATATTTTATTTTCCATAGGTATAATATGAATCTTATTTGTTTCCCTCTCACAGGTAATTCTAAAGAAGAGCAGAGGTTAGAAGTCAAAGAACACATTCTTGAAAATATATGATGCATTATTTTAGGTGGTAACAGGTCATAAAAGCATTTTTTACATATCAATTTTATGGATTATTAAAATATTGGCTAGTTCAGGGATGTGTGTGTTTGTATATGTTTTTGCTAGTATTGAAATATCTCAAACACATAGGACTGTTTTTCCCTTTTTAAAGAATTATGTTCTTTTCATTTTTAGTGGGCTCTAGTTCATTTTGCTTCTGTATATTTGTTTCATTTCAATATTTCATTTTTATATACTAAAAATATAGTCTTATTATATTAAGTAGCTTGAAGAGATGTATTTCTTAGAATTAAGTTTGTATGTATTTAGATTTAGCCATAATTAACTATGGGATTAATTTAATCTCTGAGGAAAAACAACATACAGTCAAATCTTGGTATACTTTAAATATTAATTTTAACTTTCTAATGCCTTTGTAAAGCAATCTACTTTTTTGTCATGCCAATAGTAATGATATAATTTCTCATCTGAAGGATTGCAAACATCAGCAACGTTTTTCCAAACCTGTCTCCCTCCCAAAATAAAAAAATAGAAATTATGGATGCAAACTAACTTCTTTTCTTCAAACCATGTGGATTTAATAGGTGTTTTTCCCCCCAAAGGAATCATTTAGAAATTTATTGTGTATCATCTAATATTTTTATTTACTATTTTTAACTTGTATTTTAAAGTAATTATAGTTTGCAACATGCAGTTGCAAACATAGTACAGAAAGATGGGATGTATTCTACACCTAGTTTCCCCCAGTGGTTATATAATTATAGCATAATATCAAAACTAGGAATTTGATACAGGTATAATGTATATGTAGTTCCATACCATTTTCTCACATGTAGATTCATGTAACCTTTCCTGTAATCAATACGTAGAACTATTTCATTATCACAAAGATCCATTGTGCTATCCTTTGATAATTACACCTAGCCTACCACATTCCCCACCCCGACCACTATCCCTATCCCCTGGCAACTGCAACCTGTTCTCCATGTCTGTAATGTCATTTTAAGAATGTCATATAAATGGAATCATAAGAAATGACTTTTGGGTATTGGTTTTTTTCACTTAGCATAATGTCCTTGAGATCCATTCAAGTTGTTGCATGTATCAGTAGTCCATAGTATGGATGTATCACAGTTTGTATAACTATTCACTTATTGAGGGACATTTTGGTTATTTACAGTTTTCGGGTATTACAAATAAAATTGCTATGAACAGTTGTGTACAGGTTTTCATATGGACATAAATTTTTATTTCTCTGGAATAAATGCCTGGGGGTTTGATTGTGGGTAGAATGATAAGCATATGTTTAGTTTTCAAAAAAGAAATGGCCAATTTTTGAGAGTGGTGGTAACATTTTATATTTTCATTAGCACTATATGAGAGATCCACTTTCTCAATATTCTCAAATATTTTGTATTATTTTAACTGTTCTGACAGGATTGTGTCTCATCATGGTTTTAATTTGCATTTTTCTAATAGCTAATGTCTTAGTTTAGTCTACTAGAAAAAAGTACTATTGACTGGTTAACTTATAAACAACAGAAATTTGTTTCACACAGTCTGAATGCTAGAAGTCTAAGATCAGGGAGCCAACATGGTCCATTTCTGGTGTGGGTCCTCTTCTGGGTTATAGAGTACTGACTTCTCATTAGAGAACTCTCTGTGGTCTCTTTTATAAGAGCATTAATCTCACTTGTGAGAGCTTTATCCTAATGACCCAATTACCTCCCAACTTCCACCTCCTAATACCATATATTGTTGATTTGGTTTCAACATATGAATTTTGGGGAACACAAACATTTCAGTCCATAATAGCTAATGATGTTGAACATAGTTTCATCTGCTTCCTTTCCATCTGTATATCTGCTTTGGTAAAATGTTTGTACATGTCTTTATCTGTTTTCTACTTGGGAGGTTTGTTTTTCTAATGATTACTCTTTTCAATTCTTTTTCAAGATTGTCTATTCTAGTTCCTTTGTGTCAATTTTAGAATAATCTTGTCTATATGTAGAAAAAAAATCTTGCTGGGATTTTGATAGGAATTGAATTAAACATATGTATCAATTTAGAGATAATTGCATCTTTGCTATGTTGACTCTTCTAATCATGAATGTGTAATATTTCTTCATTTATTTACATCTTTGATTTCTTCATCATGGTTTTGTAGTTTTTACTTTTATTATTTCACTTCTGTTTAGAGAACTTCCTTTTATTTTCTTAATTTCCTTCACCTAATAATGTCTTGATTTCTTCTTCATTCTTGAAGCATAGTTTTGCTGGTTATATAATTCTGTGTTGATAATTCTTTCAGCATTTGAAAAATGTTGCATCACTTCTTTCTGGCTGATTTCAAGATTTTTCTTGTTTTTAGTTTTTAGAAATTTGACTATGATTTGTCTTGTCGTGGATTTCTTTGGTTACCTTCTATTCTGAGTTCATTCTGTGTTAATATATTTTGCCAAATTTGGGATGTTTTCACTCATGATTTTGAATACTTTGTAGCCTTTTTCTTTTTTTCCTCTCTTTCTGGGACTTTTATGACACAAAGGTTAGCTCTTTTATTATAATTTCACAAATTCTTGAGACCTTGGTTTTTTGTCTGTTTTCTGTTTTTCAGATTGGGTAGTTTGTATGTTCTGTCTTCTAATTCACTGATTCTTTCCTCTATCTTCCCCATTCTGCTGTTGACCCATTGAGGTTTTTTTTTCCCCCCAGTTATTATTTAGTTCTCAAAGTCTTACTTGTTTCTTCTTTATATCTTCTATATTTTTGCTGAGACTTTGTATTTTTTCATTTGTTTCAAATGTGTTTATAATTACTCATGAAAGCATTTTTATGACAGCTTCTTTGAAATCTTTGATCAATATCTATGATACCCTATTGACGTTTGTCGATTGTCTTTATTCAGTTTGAGATCTTGATTCTTGGTATTGTGAGTGATTTTTGATTGAAAGCTGGATATTTTAGGTATATATGACTTTGAATCATTTAAATCTTACATTATTGCAGGCTTCCTCTGACATTCTGGTACATGAATGGTGGCACTGCCTTGTTACTTTCAGTGGGTGTGGAAGTCCAGGTTCTCCATTTAGACTCCATTGGCAACTGGTGATAGGGGAGGGAGCTCCTTTTTTGTGATTGCTGGGGAGGGGTGGGAATTCAGTTTTCCCACTAGGCTTTTGTTATCCTGGTTGGAATGGGGAGGGGAGGGGATATTGTTATTGCTCCCCACCTATA